GCGACTCTTGCGATGTTGCTGCACTGCTTAGATGCAGGCAGTGTGGCAACTGGCGCTTCAACGCAGAACATAGCTCTCTCAACTGGTATGTAACATCGGCTTTCAGCCATTCAGCAACCCTGCCATAACATGATATCGAGCGCGCTCAATGTCAATCGGATCCGGCAGACAAGCCCGGCGAACGCACGATCCCCACCTTCTTGAGCACCTCGACCATCTCGCTGTAGTAGTCATCTGTGACATCCACCTCCGAGGTTCCGAGCTTGCGGCTTGAGGTCCTTTTGTTTGCCTAGAGCGATGACCTTGCCAAACTTCTCGTCGATGTCGTTCAGGTATCCGACAGCATCGTCGTCCCCGGTGCATGCCATGATCTGCACCTGAGAACGGCGCTGATGATGCGAGCTCATGAATCCGAAACTGCAGACACGAGTCCTTGAAGCTCAAGTTGGTGCTCTTCTTCGTGACTAAGCCTCGGAAGTTCGGAAGGTTTACAAAAAAAGTTCCACAAAACATGGCGCGGTCCAAAGAAAAGGCGAAGCGTGCACTCTTCTGTGAATCCGGAAACTCTAACACTCTCAGCAGGGCTTTTGCACCTCAGAACGACAGCTTCAGGCGAGCAGCGCTTCAGTTCCTTCTCGAAGTATCGCACGCCGCCGTTCGGCTCCCCGTCCTTGGCAAAAGGAACTCAGCGCTCGGGATAGGGTCGGCTCCTTTGCAGTTCCAAGCGAAGTCTTGGAGATTCTGGATTCTGGGTACACAGGCCGGATGAGCTGCACACCAAACTGATGCAGAGTCTCCGTGAAGATCATCAACAGGATGGGTCGCTCTCCTGCCCGCTGCGTCAAAGTGTGGAAATTACGACACGCTTCATGGAATCCCCGTTCAACTAAGAAACTAGGCACAACTCCTCCCGAGATGCCTTGGCAGTGCTCTGCCACGGTGCGCAGGGCCTCTGGCACTTGCATCTCTGCAATGTCAGAGCAAGCGACATCGTCAGAGATATAAAGAATAGTGCTACGAAGGGCCGCGGCATCGGCGCCCGCAACTGACCAGCAAACACCCAAAGCACCCTAGGAGCCGAAAGGTCAAACTATCACAAAACCCTCGGCCGTGCCTCCGTGAGCGGCGTCCTGCCTCGAGCAGGCTGGGTGAAAGCACCGAGCACTCGCGGATCCTGTGAGCTCCTCGGTTCTTGCGTGAAAGCTCTTCGGGAAAAACGTGAAGGCTCCGCGAACGCCAATGCAACCGAAGATCTTCACTCCTCGGATGAATTCGAGGGCAGGGGTTCTCGTGTGAGGGAAATGCTGAGGCGTCAAGGTGTCACACAGCACGAGGGCCTACCGCAACGGCCAAAATCAAGAGCAAAGACACTCAGAAACACCTTGTACCTCGCAAGCCTTCGCAATACCCCACGCCCACCCATCGAGCCCAGCTTCTTTCCTAGACTAGAAGCCAACAACTCTGGAAGAAATCACTGCAGTTGACCGGGCTGCCATCGATGAGACCACGGTTCAGGAAGAACAGATCAAGGCCCGACCTTGCTGTGGCGTCAGGGAAATGATTAACAACACTACACAAGTACCCCGAGGCGGTGGATGAGGAAGCGTTTACAGTTTACTTTAGCACGAAGGCCGTGCTGCGTGACAGTGGTCAGATCCGCATGATACCCGCAAGCAGGACACTTCCGTAAAGCTCCCCACGCACCCTAGCCCGAATCGCATGGCCCCTGGCGCCCACCTGCTCCGACATTTCTGGTGCTAAGACCCCTGCTCATCGAAACAAGCGGCCAGGTCTATCAGAAGCCTGAGTCGTTCGGAGCTTCGAGGCCTAGTTCCCAGGATTCGGATTTTCGGGTCAAGCGACTTTCGGGCGCTGAGCTTCTGCTGTAGCATGGCTGCACTGTGGGTGAGAGTTCTTGAGGCTTCAGCCGAGGGATTTGACACAGAAACCCTTGCTGATCGCCATGATCGCAAGCGCTGTTGCATGCTTGGCCAGAATCTGCCTGATGTTCTTGAACAAAAGAAAACTTCAGAAATTCAAGCACTGTCACGAGAAGCAATACCAACACTTCAGGGAAATGAAAGTCACGCTACGTGCCCAAACACTCGATGTTGTCATTTTCTCTCTGAAAACCACAGAGTCTGTTCTGGAGGCTGCAGACAAAGCCTTGACAGACCTTGGGTCAGGCCGAGTCGCAGTACGGATGCCTTAAGCTCATCCCACCGTGTTGCAGACTCCTCCACCGGAAAGAAGCTTGGATTGGACAATGATGACGACTCCCACTTGTCTGTCACGAGTGTTTAGTGTGTAGTCGTGTAGCCACAGTGGGTGCAGTGTCTTGCAACCTGCAAGCGTGCTGTCTTGGAGTATGCCAAGCTAGGGCACGAGTTTGGAATGATCCCTGGTGGCTACAGCCTTTGAGTTGACTACTCACGGAGTTACTCACTGTAGCCTCCCTTTCCTGTCGCTGGCAAGTGCACTCACTAAACCTCAAAGCCTGCAACCCTCACAGGCGCCCTCTGTTCCCGATGTTTGCTTGATTTCCTCGTAGAGCCGTCGCTGTGAAGGGGGCTTCGCAGAGTTGTTCATCGAGGTGGAATCGTCAAGGATGAGCACCTTCTTCTGTGGTAGTTGTTGTCTTTCGATGTAACAACCAAAATAATGCCCATAAACGCTACTTCTACACTCTCTATTTTGAAGTCTTAATATTCCTCAAGAGAAGGGAGAGAAACAGCGGGACGGAGAGAGGGAAGAAGGGGGAGAGAGAGTGAGAGAGAAACGAGAGAGAGAGAGAGAGAGAGCAAGAGACAGAGAGCGAGAGAGGGTTGTCACTGGCATTCAAAATCACAGTGCCAATGCTGCAGCTGCATTTTATCATGTTACTGCTACAGGTTGCGTGTTGTTTGTCGTCGTCGTCGTCGGCCATTGGGTCCGAGATGATCCCAATGCCGTCTGTTATCATGTTCTGCTCTCGGAGTATCTTACTTCATACCCCCACGGTATGTCTGCACGCACAGATCAGTGATTAGTATAGATTGCAGAGGTTCTCATAGAACAACATACCAAAGGGCAACAGAGGACTGTATAGACAACTACAGAACAGCATGGACTGCTGTTGGCACTGTCACGAGCGAGGCACGATCTCGTAGTCCTCCAGAACTACCAAATCGTTGGCATCTGCTATGGACACCTGGAAGCCTTAAGAATTCGGCGGATGTGCATTGGTTTGACAAGCCTCCCTCGCACACTCTCTCTTGCAGGTATTTTGGCGGGATTGGCAGATTACATCTGCAGCTACTAACCTGAGATCTGCAATCCACCCTCACATGGCTCCTTACAAGAGGCTCTCCAGGATGCGCTGCAGCCGCTGCATGCGCTGCGCGCGTGGCATGGCTCCCCCAGCAGCCGGGGCCTGCAGTGCCGAAGGCATCCCGGCCCCGGCCGACCTGCTGGGGCTCCTCGGACACGAGACAGCCCAGGAATGCCCAGGAGCCCTGCACTTCGCTTGCTTTGGGCCGCGGACATGACGACGCTCTGGCCCAACGGGGGCATGTGCCCCATGTTGTTGCCCATGTTGCCCATGCTCCCATTGCTCCCATTGCGAGGAGCTGCCCCGAGGCCGGCAGAGGCATAGGCCATGGCACCACTCGGAATGTTTTGTGATTAAAAAGGAGCAAGCTAGTTGTTTTGGAATGTCTGAGAGTCTGCTTCGTTGAATTCGACTGAGATCAAGGACTGCCGCGTCAAATCATCATGACCTTCATCGGCAATGTCAGGCCCGCTGCTGGGGCTTCGGGATGAAGCGCATCAATTCAAACCGGTCGGCATCGCCAAACACCCTGGAAGAACAGCGGCAACTGCCGCCAGCCTAGCAAAGACAGGCAGCAAATCGGATGAGACAAAGCCCCGATGGCTTCAAAACGTACAGTTTGGGCGTGGGTAAGGTATGGGCAGGCCGCACAACTGACTGTTGGAAACCATGGGTGCTTCATCTAAACCTCAGCAGCTGCAGAACTCTGGGTGTCCAGCGTCGCCAGGTGGCTGCCTGCCCGTGTGGCCGCCTTCGCGGCCACACGGAGTCCTGCCGAGCGGGAGCCAGGCAGCGCATGCAGCGATCCCCGCCGTCCCCGCCTGCCAGCGCTTGACCCAGGTCCGCGTCGCGCGCGGCGGTGGAGCCTCGGGCGTCGGCGCAGCATGTACTATGCAAACTGGTCATCATCATCTTAAGGATACATCCTTGCCTCAACGATGCGGCTATGCCGAGAAGCCCTTTGGAGCCTTGAAGCCCAAGTTAAGTTGGGCTTGCGTCTGAAACACTGGCCTGTGCGGGAGTCATCCAGGGCATGACCGGCTAGCATCGGTCCACGCTGGATGTCTCGATGGACACTGGAGTTCTATAGGCTGTCGTGACGGGATGTAAGGTGCGGGTGATGAGTGCGGGGAAGTGCCGAGCAGCGGGTGGCAGTGTTTAGACAGGTCTGGGCACAAGCCCAAGATGCACATGCCACCAGCGTGACCTTTTTCTTAGCGTTTTGATTACACCACTGGCTCCTCTCAGAAAGAGTTTCGTTCAGCGGACTGTGGTATTGGAATCCGTTTAAGCATGCCCTCGCTGGCTGCCCATGTCTTCCTTGCAGTGTCTGTGCTGTTGAGCCACGGAGATCAAAGCAGGTCTGTGAGACACCGATCGGCAGCAGGCCGGTGCTGTGGATAACCTGTACTACAAGAACTTCCTCCGGTTGTGACAAAAAGAAGTGGTGGAAGGTGCTGCACGTGTCTGTCAGGCCACATGCGTAAACTGATGCTCGGATACAACCTGCTCAGACATGTGCATACGGACGCTTACAAGACAGATTCGTGGTATGCAGAATGCCCGTGTAATCGGTCTCATATACAAAACCCTGCACGTACAACCGCGAGTGGTTGACAGAATCCCGGAAACTAGCCGTAGCTGATAACCGGAAAAGACGTGAACGGCCGCACAGCTTGGAGGTCGTCACCGCTGCTATCATCTTTCTGACGGTTTCAATCCTCGGGCACAGGGTAATAAGAGGAAACAAGAAAGCAAGATCCGCTTGTCAAAGAAGTATGTGGAGATTCAGCCCAAGGTGCTTCAAGTACAACGAAGTGCAATCAGTAGCAACAATCAGTGGTCGTGAAGTCTGCACACCACAACAACAGCCATCGAATAGAAACATTGAATGGCAAAGGCCAAACCCACAAAGCATCACGCCCTGCCTCGCCGCTGGATCCTGGCACGACTTTAGCACCCGGTCCTGCCAAGAGGCGCTGGGCTCGAGACCGTCCAGATTCTCCACAGTATCTTCGTGCCTTTTGGGCGAGGAGGCTGCGCAGCTTCGACCTCTCCAGGAACTGAAGGCCGAGCTCCACCTCGGAACCGCTCTGAAGGCACCAGGGCTCTTTCCTGCATCCCGCCTCTTGATTGATGCCGCAGCTACTCGTGCCGGTGTAAGACTTGGCCGCCAGGGCCTTCCTCCCCTTCCGCATGATCAGGGTTGTCGGTGCTTGTTTCGTTCTTGCGAAGCTACAAACAGCCAGGAACCACCTCGCTGACCTATCTACTGTGGCGTGTCTGCAGGTTCAAGGTGTGCTTCGTCCCCGCAAAGCACCAACATTGGAGCTATTCCTGGCTCAGCATCAGCCCAACACCCCAAAGTCAAGGAAGTCCGGCCGCCTGCTCATCGTTCAACTGGAGATCCGAAACGAAATTCTTCAAATCCATCTTGTCCTCCGATGCTCCACTTCAGTCATGAGACATGCAAGCACTCCGAAAGAGAAGTAGAACCCACAGAGGAACCTTCGCAGGCAGCTTCTGAGACCTCCTTTTACAACTCTGAAAGACGAATAAGATTCAAGCGCTCCTTTTCCGTCGTGCCCGTGGCTTTAAGCCGCAGTGCGGCAGACTGCGGAACAGAGACTCTGCTTCAAGAGACGGTTTGCATCTAGGGAAGGAGAGTTCCGGTCAAGAGCTTCAGTTCGAAAAATCCGTCAGAAGCCTGAGTTTGGGACTTTGGGGGAGAACGTGTCACGGCGCTTGTAGGAAACCCGGGGATCTTCTGCACAGATGAAGCGGCAACGACACTGACACGTAGCACTGGACTTCAAAGCGATCAAACCCAGCTCTGAAATCACAGGCATGTGCAGTGTTAGATGATTCTCGCGCCCCGTCACACCTGGCTGTGACTCATTGCATGTTGAAGGATCTCCCTCCTGATATGTCCTAAAGTGCGTCTCGCTTTTCGCGGCCGCGCGGAAAAGTGCATCGTTGGCCATCTTAAACACGAGCGGACATGGATGGTCCCCCGGCTGAACAGCTTGCCGGAAACTAACAGAGTCTGGGATTCCTGCATGCAGCAAGCATGAGGCTCAACGAAGTGGAGACCACATGCCAAGTACATAACATCACCCGTTGTTGCTGCTGACTTGGCCCAGAGGTACATTGCGGCCGCCGACGAAGTTCATGGGAAGAAGTCCTACTCGGGACCCCGATGGCAAAGGGACTTGGGCTCCGGCCTCCCAAGCACTCCCGCTGCTCGGCGGGGGCCTGGAGCAGAGCTCTCTGAGGTCGGCTGTTGCTGGTCCCAGCATGAAAGCACGCTACTTCTAGAGCCCACACAGCTATGCTCGTAAATCCCAGAACTTGCAATCTAAGATTCCAACTTGCAGTGCTTCCTGCAATATACACAGTCCCTTCAAGCCAAAAGGCAATCCCCCGAATGGAAACCCTCGAAGCGAAAGCTTCGTCCCGAACTTTTGAGGCTCGACACCCGATGCGTCAATGTAAACCCCCCAGGCCCGAAATGCATAAAACGTAGAGGCTCGGAGGTCTAGAGTCTAGAGATCACTCTTTCGAGCGAAAACATACTGTGAGCAACTCAATCAAACTTAAACCGTCCAAGTCTAAGTTAAAACCGTCGGGACGAACCTGGACGGAGCCGAGGGCGTCGGCGCCGCCTGCCAAACCACAAACTTCCATGAAACGCTTGCTAGCCACAACGTGATGACACAGATTCTTCCGGACAAGTCCAACAGCCGCAAATAAATCTTGGTTCAAACAGCTTAGAACGCAAGGCTACGAGGCAAAGATATCTACAATCAGCTTACAAGAGTAAACGGTGAACTCGGTTGATCCCACAAAACCGGAACTCTTGATACCGAAACTCGCGCTTTCACTGTGGATAGCTCAAACTCAAAACCCCGAAACCCCAGTGCCAAAACTGATGCACCCTGAAACCTTGCAGCGCAGCTTTCCAGACAGCACAGCAACTGCAGGCCACAACTCCCATGAGATGCCCGCATTACTTACACCTGCATCGAATTACGGACTGCAGGAACCGGCGGAGAAGCTGGCCTGAGCTGAAGAAGACTCTTTCCTTGGAGCCGAGTCACGCAGCGAAAGTGCAGGCTGTCTTCAGACACGAGCTGCGGAGCAACCAAAACGTGAAAAATCGGGGCCGATGCAAAGAGAAAACCCTAAACCGGAAACCACGAAGCCCCATGCAAGTGAATGGAAACGCCGAACCTGGAACAGCCTGATCCTCAAAGCAGAGCCCATTTACCGAACCTGTCAGCCTGAAACTTTAAATCCTCAAATCACTGAACCCTGAAACTGCGGGCCCAGGATCCACGGCCGGGGCTCCGCAGGCGTCTTTTGCTTCGTGGCCTTCGTGGGCTTCGGCGCGGTATAGGGAAAATATACAGAAGACAAGTCATGCGAAGGACTGGACTCACAAGCAAGCATACTGGCAGAGATACTATGAACACTGAAGACAAGCTCCATCATGCCAACAGCACCGCCACAGCTACAGCAGAAGCAAGGACAAAGGCAGCACCGAAGGCAGATTAACGCAATGGTATACCCGTCGTGTGACTCTGCTCTGTGCGGGGAATAGTTTGGGAGGCTCGGAGCCCTCAAATGCAAGAGGCACTTGGCTCTCCTGCAGCTGAGCTCAGGACCGTCTTCTCCTCGTGTTTGCGAAGCTCCTGCAGACGCCGGAGGCCCCGGTTCAGCTTGAGACGGCGACGGCGTCTCTTACAACTCATATTCCAACACGTCCCAACCCTGCAGCTGCTACAAGTAGGGAAGTAGCTTGTTCAGGATGCCGACTGAAACGGCTTCTGCAAGTCTCATGAACCTGACGCGGGGCGGAGGCCAGCTAGACTTTCGCGGCTGCATTGTCGACAGCTGCGGGAGCTTGTCAGAACACCTTTTCCGCATGTCGGAGTCCTCTTGCTTCTTCATCGCCAAGTGCTTCTGCAAAGACTCCCGCAGATTCGAAGATTTCCTGGGCCCACGACTGGAACACTGTTCAGCTTTCCAGGGATTGCATCCTTCTGGACACCTGCAAAGACTCCACACACGGCTTGCTCCGATCAGAAATGTCAGCGCATGTCCGACATCTGAGGTAGCGGGGCGAGGGTGCGGGAGGCTGTAGGATCCCCGGAATGGTCCAAGCAAGCTGCGCGCCAGCGACATTCCAGCGAACCGGCGGGCTGAAGGCCTGCAAACAACTGGCTCTCCTGGCCCGTCCAGCCCTCGGACCTCTTCTGCGAAGAAAGTCGGCACCACTAAGGACATGCTCTGAAGTCTCTGCAGGGCTGAGAGGACATCGAAGCAATAGCAAACGTGAAGTTTTGATGAACCAGCGCACGAGAGCAGTATCCAGGGCGTGGCTTGTGCCCGTGCCCTCCTTAGAACGATCTGCTACACAATACTGCTAAGCTACTGCCGGCTTTGGTAGCTGGTATAGCTGGGGGCTGGGGGTCTAGGCATTTCAGGTTGCTGATCAGGGCTTGGGCTCAGCTAGGTGATCAATCATGCGCAAGAGCCCTGCTGCCCGCGGGTGAGACTTGTGAACACGTTCAGCCATTCTCTGCAGCCTTCTCCTGGCGAAGAAAGCTCATCTCACAAGAAGCTCCCTCAGGTTCTTTACAGACGCAGAAAGCGGGCATTTGTCGGTCTGTCCTCCTTAGGCGCGCGGGAGGGCCCCGCTGGAGGCGCTGCGCCGGGAGAGGCCTGGCAGCACAAGGGGCGCGCGCCGCGCATCTGATTCGGGGCATCTCACCTCCGGCTTCGCTTGCTGGCAGGTCGAAACGGATGGTGTTCTGGGCATCCTGCAGTCCAGAGGGATGCAGGGAAGGAGAGCGTGCGGTGCCCGTGCACCTCCGCACCCCGTTCGGCCATCATGGCAGGCGGCCTCAGAAGCAGCGCAGAGCCACGGTCGCAGGCTGGAACATCAACATTGTATACTCCGGAGGGTTGCTTGTAGTAGATTATCTCACATTTGTTGGCATACTCTTACCGAAACCTGCCATGTACTAGGTTGTACATGTTGTTGAAAAACATGGCTGGTTCGTTTGCTTTTGCTAGGTATAATGTGAGTTCGTGTAGTTTCTTATGGTCGTGCTTCATGTAGTCATAATGCTTCCACACATCAAACGGAGTAAAAACAAGGATTTCTTTAATTTTGTTGAAAGCATGTGTGAATGCTTTTCTAACATCAATTTCCACTGTCCATTCTGGCATGTAAAACATCTTGTCATGTTTGTTTGTATGCGGGTTGTATTGGAAATAGTGTCTGCTTATCTCACCAACTGGGTTTATCGTTCTACACTCCTTACACAATTCCACGTCAACCTCATTATACTAATATGTTTTTGCAGTGGATTAAACAGGGACTTCATAAACACATACATTGATTTAGACATGTTGCTGTGAATCTGCTCAGTTCTCACTGATATAGTTCCGTCAATGGAGTTGTTTACTAGGTTCTGTGTCTTAACTTTGTATGGGGTGACATTCATTTCTATCCTGAATTTAAAAAAAAGCTCTGAAACTATGCTGAATTTAACTTGCCTTTCGTACCCTGCCTTTGTGCTTTCTAAAGAGAGCTCGGCGAGGTCATGACCATCATATATCAAAGTGTGCTCAGAGTGGTGATTGTATTTTTATGTTGTTTCGCGATTGTATCATTTGCATTGGCGGGGTCGTCCTTCTCATTTAGGTGATAAACAGGAGAAGCCTTCACTGAAATATCATGCCCAAAGCTTCTTGGTAACATCTGCCGTAATACATTCAATCTATCGGCTACTGTGCACATATGGTTGTTCTTCACAACTGCATATAATGTGGGGATATGATGATCTCGCTTAGGTGGGTCGTATTGGAAAATCACTTTCTCAAAGGCATTGTATATTCTGATTTGAATCTTGTAATACTCAATAACTTTAACCGTTTCTTTTATTGATGCACCTGACCTCTTAAAATCTCTTCTGACTTACCTATTAGGTTCAGTATCCTCTTCTGGAGAGTCTGTTCTTTTCTCTACGCGTTTCTCCCATAAGCGCGTCCTTGCAATAATCGGTTAGTGTGTTCAAGCAACACTGGTTTTCTTGGTAATGGCTTGTTTTGATTGCTTCTTTTACTGTTTCGTATTCTGTTTAGTGGGGTCTGTATGATCTGTGGAACATGCTCACATGCGGCATGTCTGCTAGATTCTCGTCCAGCGGTATACAATCAGTGTCACCATCTACTCTGTCTACATCCTTAACTTTGATGCACACTATGTAGGAATGCGCGAAGCGAGGGGTTTCCTCCAGATTTGGCTGAGACATTACTGTCTTCATCAATTTCTTGAAAATATACCTGCTTTAGTCTCATCTTGAAACACATGTCTGCCGCATAACTCTTCTATATAGTCTGCTGCCCATATAGTTGCTCTCTTAGTCTCATGCCAGATCGGGATTAGGGGTCTACCGCTACTGTCTTTGAAGGATGCTTTCACGGTATCCTTGGGGAGATTTGTTTCGAAGAACACACAGTCTATGGAGTGTTCCTTTCGACTGTTCTGTTCTCACCCTCGTCTATATTCGCTGAACTGCGGTCTTCTGTTAGTCGTCTGCGGATTTCTGCGAGTTTGCTGTCGCGCTGTGTTGCTTGCGTTCTTTCTCCCAGCGTTTTTTTCTTTTCCTTATGTGTTCCGTATACCTTGTTGTATTGGACACTTGCCTTTTGCTTTTTTGGTCTGTCTTGGTATGGATGAAATTCCTTATGGATTTGTCTGCTGTTGTGAACTGTGATTTTTTTCTGTCATCATATACACCGAAGATATTTATTATTTTACTGTTGGTTGCTCTGCTAAGCCTACCTTTGTAAACATCATATACTGTTTCTACTGCTTTTACACCACGTTGGATGGTGTTACTCATGTGAATATACTTAGAATTTAGAACACTTTCTGGTTAAATGGTGTAGATCGTACTTAAAGAAATATCATGCACGTATTGCTGATGCTGGGCAACTGAAGGAGCCTAGCATAAAGCGCCCCATAGGACAAGGGCTCGCGGAAATTTCAATGAGAGAGCGATCAGAACTTTCAAGGGAGGCTGGTGAGAAAAAGAGGAAAAGTAGTACTCGATGGGTTGATTATAGTCACGAGATATTTTGTTGACATACAACATTCATATGAAACATTCTGCTACAGGCCCCACCAAAAGAGGCGATCATACCTAGCAACGAGTTAAGCATCAGGTTGATTTCAGCATCAGGTGGTACACGGAATTGGATTTATCCCGAGATTGAGAAGATGACGAAGCTAAGTCGAAAGCCGAATGAGAAAGAGTGAACTGGAAAATTGGTGTAAGACTGTTTATACAGTTGAGAGGATTGAGAACGTATGGATAGACCTTACTTAAGACTTGAAATGCTGAATACCATCGGAATAAGCATCGTTGAGAAAAGAGGCAAAGAACATTCACCACGTATATTGCTATTGTTCACCAAAGCAGAACAAAGGAAACTGTAAAAAAACGCTCCTTCTCGTTATTGACATGAAAGTAACTGCGAATAACGAAGTATTTGTCAAAGGTGTAAGTTCGCAAATACAACATGAGTTTGTACAACTTGCCAATAGCTGAAAGTGCCATGAAGACCATCTGCAAATTCATCCATAAAGGATGCGAAACATGTGCTACACTGAACGAAGGAAAAGGCATACTTATGGCTGCAGCACCCAAAATTGACCCAACAGCTTGAACTACTACTGAAGCAGTTGAAGATAAATACATGTCTAAGGTACAAGAATACGGAGGGCTTGATAAAGAACAAAGAAACACACAAGTTTCTTATCATGCGAGTTTGAAGAATAAAACTATTAGTCACATGCTGAATGAAAACACAACCAAGAATAATCAAACATACCATAATGAAAACAAACATCTTTGCTGGAAGCAGACTTGCACGGGCATGTCAGGACATGAGCTCGCGCTGGTTTCAAGGCTTCGATGTCTCATAATGATGTACGGAAACCTTCTATACCAACTAGCAGAAAAGAGCAGTAGCAGAATACGATATATCATTCTTCAAGTAAAGATCGGATAGCGGATAACAATGACACAAAGGTTTTGTTCTTACGTATAGGATTGTGAGGTTTTGGGGGCTTAGGGTTTAACTTTTGGAGGGTTGAGGCTGGAAGGGCTTGGGTTTTTGGGGTGCAAGGCTTGGGGTTCAAATGCGGATTTCAAGGTGTCCACTTTAGGTTTTGGGGTCTACAAGGTTTAGGTTCAAGTTTAGGGCTTGCGGCTTGCGATTTTGGGGGGGTGGTAGTTCTGGATCACATAGCGGGAGGCACCGCAGCAGGTCTGTGCAAAGACGATGTAGAACGGCTCCTGCGGATGGCAGACGTGGAGGATCTGGAGTTTGCTGGCTCATCACGCACAAGCTGCTCCCTACAACGAGTAGAAAGCGCATCCGGTTTAGCATGCACTTTCTTTCTCACGTGGCAGGATCATGGTCGCGCAAGAAGGGCCTTTGCGGCGCCGAAAGAGCTTTCTATTTGTAGCTTGTCCAAGCCCCGGTTACCATCATGGTCCGCTGAGAGAGCTTTGCTCTGATGGCAAGCTACGAAAGGAATAATCAGTAGCAGCATGGGGTGAACAAGGAAGACGAACAGGTGAGACATGGGGTTGTATAATGACCTTGAATAAAATTATCTACACTGAATGTCGCTATCGCTAGTTTGTCCTCCTATCGTTTTATGATGAAAACTACGTTATCGTTGTGTTTTCTTTTTATCGCGTCACCATGGAAAACCCCAAGACCCGAACAGGGACGTGACAAGACCAAACCAATCCCACATGACTTTCCCGGTCGTCATCAAGGTGACTAGCAGTAGTTCTTCCACTTCAGAGGAAAATGCAAAACAGCGCAGAATGCCACAAATGGAAGCGAGAATTTGTAGCAAATACGACAACACCAAGTAGAACGACTCATGACCCGTACACGTGAATCACGAACTGCTTTGACGCCTTCCGTCGAGTCTGTGGCTGGCGCAAAGAGAGGCATTCGTGGAGCCTCTTTGATGAGGTTCTTTGCAACCTCGGACGAAAACATGCCCATTAACTCGTCGATCTCACTCACGAACTCTGCTGCAAGGCAATTCAGGATGACGTCCTCGTTCTTCTCAGACATGAGCACGAAGTATGCTGCACTGACTCCTATCCC